ATAATACATTCTCATAAATGGATCATGTGGATTCCAGAAGCTAAATTTGTTGGAAGTTCTTCGAACATTGTTGCTATATTTTGACATCATCTCTTACCCTCCTTTCCTACATTTTCCCTTTCCTTCTTTCTTTACTTCCTTCTTTATTCTGACTTCTTCTGAAATCCAGTCATTATGACTTGCTGAATTTATACATTTCCTTTTTATACTGAGTGCAAAACGGGTAGAGTTATTGTCTTACTAAAGTATTTGCTAAAGTAATGAGTTTTTTAATTGATTTGAGGGAATAAAGCATTTAAAGCTTAGGGGCAAAGTATATGATTTCCTTTGACCCATAAAGATTATAAGAAAAGCGTTTTCAATCAAAATATGTTCCACTATTTATCTCAGATCATAAAACAGTGAAGTAATGCAGATATGAACACATCAGTTCTGAATTAATTCTTTTATTTCAAAACATGAATGTGTCAGTCAAGTAGTTCATTATTGTCAAAAAAAGATATGCTTGTCAAGATAGCATAGTGAGATTGTGATTAATTCTGAAAATCGAAGTAAATTGAGTATAGAAGCTAGTGTTTTAAATTTTCTATAATTAAAGTGCTTTTAACAATGTGTCAGACAAAACCATCCTCAGTTGCATGATGGCAAATACAAATTTATGAAGCTATATTTCGAATAACAGATCTCTCTCTACATGCATGAAGAACATTGTGAGGCTAATGCAATTTTTCTATTTCTCTGCATTCATTTATATTTTTTTCATAACCTCCCTAAGTAAATAATAAATTTGTGATAACTAAATAATACAATAAAATAAAACATTTTCATTCAATCCATGTTTAAAATAATAAATGCAAATGTTGAATCAGGATGGTACTTTAATTTCAAAATATCATATGCTTTTGTATAAGTTGTTTTGTGTAGGTTTTTGTGTAAGGAGAGGACAAGTCCTAATAGTCTCATACTGTGAATCTCAGCTTTACTACATGGAAGTTTTCTAAGTTTAAAAACTGTAGACATGAACACTTTCAAATTCATCTTTAGGATCCTGTGCTTTAACTTATCAAAGAGTTTATTGCCCAATTGGCATATTTCTATTAAGTTTTCTTTGTGAAAACATTCT